GCTAGTGTCTTCTTGTCAATAACATTAATCCTTAAAGTACTTCATGTCTGGTGTTTTATTTACCATCAAAAGGACGAAATTTTATCATTTACATGCTAGAATGCTTCAACTCATGAAGCCTTTCCCCTTCTCATCGTATCCCTCCCAATTTGACATTATCGTAACTGTAAGAAATCACTGGCGTTGACTAGAAATTGGGAAAAGGGGTTTCACTAAAGCAAGTTTTTTTTTTTTGCTTCTAATTAAATGTCCAGTGGGGCGACTGAGGGAACACGAGCTTGTTTGGAACTTTATCAGATGCTAGATACAATCTATTTTGTTCTCCAAAGGTAAAATTCATAGTTCTGCTGCTTCTCATTGTTGTTTGTGACAGTAATTGTCCATCCACCTGGTACGCCATTGCTGAAAACAGATGCATCAAGGCAATCTCACCCAAACCCTACCCATTAGGGGTTTCTCTTCATGAAGTTAATGCCAGTAAGCTGTGCGACAAGTACACCATTGGCACAAAGGTTGCATCATATATCTCCGTGACATCTCCAATTGACATGGCCATACTGAGAACTTTTGGATCTTGGATAAACAAGTTCTATTTGGATTGGAACTATGTCGGAAAAACCTACTATTATAGCGATGGAGATGTGATTGATATTGATGAATATTCTTTAGCAGATGATGAAAGTGGAGATATTACTGAAAGCAATTGTGTTGGTGTAAACCTGGGTGACAATCAATTAGATACATATTGCGGTCCTGGAGAAGCTGGATACGTTTGTGAAATAAAACTTTGAAACCATGCTAAGTATTAGTAACATGGCCCTATTTATTATTATTAATTACTTTTATTGTTATTATTATTATTATTATTATTATTAACAATAATAATAATAATTATTATTATTTTATCATTATTATTATTATTATTATTCAGTTTTCAGATTTAGTCAATAAATTAGGGACAAGCCTATACGCACAGTGGCTATAATGGCCTTAACGGATCTTATCGCACAGCGTCTGTGTATATAAGGAAAGAACGAATCTTATACGCACAGCGGCTGTGTATATAAAAGGTACAGAACGGATGTTATATGTACAGCCACTGTGTATGTAAGGGACAGAACGGATCCTTTACACACAGCAGCTGTGTATAATGAACTTGCCTATCTTATATGCATAGCGCCTCATTTTATTGATTTCTGTTGTTAAATTTGTTTGATGCAACATATTTTTACTCTTTAAAAATAAATCTTTGTATTGCTATACTTGTATAGGATTATATATACCTGCTCTATTTATCTTTTAAATAATTAATATTATTTTTTCCTTTTAAATAATTTACACTGTATTTATTTCTGAAAAGAGGCTGATAAGTACAATGGATTAGAGAGTGCTACTAGTCCTTTTGCAATTTTTTCGTCCTATTGTTTAGCTCAATGTTACTGTAATATGTTGAATGATGCAAAAATAAAATGATTAAAGAATATAATAAACTTAATATAATATAATTACACCCTTCATATATATATATATTTATATCTGTCTCTTAGACACATCT